TAGCAGTACAGGAAGTGTAGTGTAGGGCAGCGCCGCGAGAATTCCATCGGCATCGAAAGCAAGTGTTTTGACTTGCCTAGATAGCCGAGCGGTCTAGCGCGCTGTTCCTGTACTGCTAGGAGACAGATTCCGTAGGTCGAGAGTTCAACCCCGGGCTGGGGCGGAAGCGGGTATCCTTGTAAAAGTGAATTTCTTTGTGCTTTCTATCTATCTATCTATCTATCTATCTATCTATCTATCTATCTATCTATCTATCTATCTATCTATCTATATCTATATATATATATATATATATATATATATATATATATATATATATATATATATATATATATATCCCTGTGATGACAATAGATGAAAAACTTAGAGTCGTCTTTAAACCTGCGTATCTAGCACACAAACTGTTCTCATTTTTAAAATTATCAATAAGGTCTCTGCCAATTAAAAAAAAAAACAACAACATTTTGCTGTCCAACAATAGGGTTAAGTCGACTTTATACAGAAATTGCCCCATATCTTTAATTTGTTTTCTTTTTCACCCCTGAAAATCTTATAAACTTTGATTTTTTTCTTTTTCATCCCTGCAAATTGATTTGATTGCATTGCACTCTGCGTACGAACTCTAACTAACCCTAGAAATGGTATTACCACTTACGCATACCGCAAACATTTCCCAAACTCTGTGATCAATATTATGACCCCTCGTGAGGTGGAATGTTGAGTGACTTTTTCAAACAAATTTTTAGCCTATTTTTCCCATACTAAACTATATACAGCTTTACCCAATTACGAAAAAGGGCTCATGGCAGTTGTGACAGTTTGACATGGGATGCTTACTCCTTCTTGGCACTTGATTCCACCTCTGATGTTGTCAGGGTCTGTGTTTGCTCTGCTCTCGATTTGTATTATTTAGTTGGACTATTGAGGGATTACTGTTTCTATGTATTTAGATTCCATTTTAAGACAAAGGAACAGCCTTCCGTCTTAAATTAAGAAAAATTACATATATTTTTTTTAGTGAGAAATGGAATTGACCAGAATCGACCAATGAAATGTAAAAGCAACAAAATACAATTAAACATTAATAAAAATTGCAAGCACAGCAAACCTTTCGACACTTAGCAATAAAATTTTCAAGCAAATGCTTGATTGCTGAAAAACAACATTGAAATAGATTAGTAATTGATCCTACTTGGGACAGGACTCCTGTTGTATTTAAGGAGAAGACTTGGCCAATGAATATCACAATCATGAGGTTGTGGCATAAGATTTAGTAGGACAGCAAAAATAAAAGTGCTTTAATATTCCGGATTATTAAAGCCCCCTTTTTGATTGGTTTCTCTTCACTGTTAAAACTTCCAACTTCTATTTTTAGCTCATCTGAACTGAATTTTCTGATCACATTTTGTCTATCCGACTTTTCACATTTTCGACTTCTTCTCAAGAATCACTGGGCCAATTTCAACCAAACTTACCACAAGGTACCCTTGGATAAAGGGGATTCAAATTTGTGCAAATAAAAGGTCTCGTTTTCTTCCAAGGGTAGATAATTACAAATTAGTGGAAAATTAATGACATATCTTAAAAATCTTCTCCTCAAGAACCACTGCGCCAGGAAATATGACTTATATGGAAACATCCTCAGGTAGTGTAGATTTAAATTTGTTCAAATCATCACATTCGGGGTAGGGCGGGGTCGTAATAGACAATCAAAGTTTTACATAGGAATACATAGGAAAATGTTCTTCTCCGGAACCACTGGGCCAGGAAAAGTGAAACTTATGTGGACAAATTCTCAGGTAGTAAAGTTTGTCAAGTTTGTTCAAATCATAACCCCCTGGGTGTAGGGCGGGGCCACAATGGTCTATCATAGATTTACATAGGAATACATAGGAAACAAATCTTTAGAAATCTTCTCAATAACAGCAAATTAAAGCCATGATTGGTCATATTTATATGAAAGCAACTTCAGGCAGTGTAGATTCAAATTTGTTCAAATCATGACCCCAGGGGGAAGAGTTGGGCCACAATGGATGATCAAAGATACAAATGAAAAATCTTTAAAAATCTTCCTCTAATGAACAGCAGAGCCATGATTGGTCATATTTATATGGAAGCATCCTCAGGTAGTGTAGATTCAAGTTTGTTCAAATCATGACCCCCGGGGGTAGTGACCCCCGCAGTGGACTATCAAAGATTTACATAGCAATACTTAGGAAAAATCTTTAAAAATCTTCTTCTCCAGAACCACTGGCCAGGAAAAATGAAACTTTCAGTCAGGTAGTGTAGATTCAAATATCTTCAAATCATGAACCCTCGGGGGAAGTGCGGGGCCACAGTGGACGTTTAAAGATTTACATAGGGACACATAGAAAAACTCTTTAAAAATCTTCTTCTCTAGAACCACTAAGCCATGATTGGTCATATTTATATGGAAGCACCCTCAGGTAGTGTAGATTCGAGTTCAAATTATGACCCCGGGGGATAGGGTGGGGCCACAATAGAAGATAAAACCTATAGGAAAGAGATCTTTCTAAAAATCCATGATTTGTCAAAGAAATATGGTAGCATTCTCAGTTAGTGTAGATTCAAGTTTGTTCAAATCATGCCCCTCCCTTTGGGGATAGGTTATTACCACTTATAAAATTCTGAACTCCTGGCCAAAGTACTCAGGTGAGCGATGTGGCCCATGGGCCTCTTGCTTAAAATATCTTCACATTTAAAACTCACTTAAAGTAGACCAATACTCGTACTACGTCACTAACGAATAGTAAAACCGGAACCACGCTTCCTTTTTCCGAGATGTGATTTTTGAACTATATTGTTTGACTTTTACATGGCGTTTAATATATCTGGTAATGATTTTGCTCCAAGTCGATCGCGTCAACAGCCTTAGAAACATTCATTATACAGTTCAAGGATAAATTAATTGAAAAGGGAAGACTAAAAATAACTTTTGGTTGACAGAGACACGATTAGGTAATAAAGATATAATATAAACGACATTTCTGTGGATGATAATATGCCGATAACATGGACCACGAGTATGCTACATGTATCAATGTCCACAGCTATTGTCAACAGACAAGTTGAAGCTAATACTGATATTTCGTATGAAAAGGAATTGCTGCGATTTGACATAGGAAATTTAATAATTTTTATTATTCAAACATTACAAAATTTACTTTGAATAATAATTATTACATTAGACGCATACCTCCCCCCTCCAGCCCTGCAAACCCATCAATCGCAATGCAAAAATATCTTTAGAATACTAATGTATGAAAATAGTTGATTCACTTGCAGCGTACTTACTTTCTGTAACAAGATCATCCAGTTTGTTAGAATCAGTCAATTATGTTCCGATTCATTGTCTCTAATTTACCGACAAGTGTGTTTTTATTTTTTTTAAGTAAACAAGATAAATTTTAGGGACAATAGGTATTGGGTGATTATTATTATTGTTTTTAATATGTACAACTTTGTAAATACAAGTGTACACTCAAACTTTAACAGTCTTATAAGAAAATGTGGAAATGTATTACTTTTGGAATAATTTTTCATGGGAGTCCCTTTAGTGCAGAGCTCATACCATGAAAAGTAATGCGTCAACATATGATTTTCTGTTTAGCTTATTCTTTTTCTTAAATGTTATTTAGTAAAAATTTTTGAAGATTGGGTCCATAATTGACTTGTGAAGCATATTTACTCATATTAAATATGGTACGTTACATACTTATAATAATTCAAAACATTGATTATATATGGTTCATTTACAGGTTTCTATTCTACTTTGTGTATTGAAGCTGACTGTTAAGATTTTAATTCTTATATATAAACATCAAATTCATGGATAGGTAAATTTCAGTATTTTGCATTTCGGGGTATATACTCTGAGAGGCAATAGCGGAAAAATAAACAAGTTGACATATAATTTTTCTTATGTCTATCCATTGCTGAGACGTATGTCTATCTTATAAAAGCAGATTTTTCAAGATTGAGCCCATTTAGTGCCGAATATAGATGTACCTTTAGGATTTGGCTCAACTCCTTTTGCCTTACGTTGCCTTAAATTTTGAAAACCTTTGGGACATTGGTAATATATAAACTCCATAAACCATACGATAACTATGGATTTAAAAAGTACAAATATTACGGAATGAATTTGTCCGTCAAATAACTAATTCTGGACCAATTCTCAGTTGTCCTCTTATTGTTGAACCCAGATTAACACCAACACGCATTATAATTTTTGTACTTTTATATATGGAATTAGCAAGGAATATACTTTTACATGAGTTGGGATGTATCAGTACCGAAGGTCTTATTCCAACTACTATCATTTATAACAAAAATATTTACATAATGAACAAAGATAGAACAAAATAAAAGAACTATCAAAAGGTATAAAGAAATCAATTATCAAACAGCTATTGAAAGACTGGTGACATATTAGCAGCATATATAGTATAATAGCGCTAAAGTAGATGAAAGATTAAGAGTAATATAAATAGAATAAATTAAGAACTCCCCATCTCTGACTGTGTTTCAGTTGGGATTAAGGCTGTGTAGAATTTATAGAACTTATCACATTTGCCCAAATATGAGAAAGTTTTCGTTACAATTTACACAAAGTCAGAAAAGTTAATTTACACAATAATTTATATCAGTCCAAAAAGGTCATATTTTACACTGTGACGCATATCTTGTTTTGGTCTTCATTCTGCGAAAGAAATCAGATGCCAATGTTTCGAGATTTAGGCTTATCCTTATATTTTTGAGGATATTATGCAAAAGATTGAGGAAGACTTTACGTTTTTGTTTTCTAAAAAATTAATTTCTTTTCTCTCGGATAGATTTATCATATTTTTTGTTATTGATTGCACAACTAACACTGCCATAGAATAGATTGACTTTACTTCAGAGTAAAATGTTTTAAATTTTGAAGATAACTGTAAGAAGGTATTAATTTTAATTATAAGCAATTTGTTTCCAAACAGAGTGCACTAACATAGAGATAATAAAGAGGAAGGATTGGGGAGCAAGCGAACCACAACGTATAACTTATTTAAAAGATAAGAATACACCCGTCAAGTATTTTATTATCCATCATACGGATACTGATACATGTAACAACATTGAATCATGTAGCGCCATACTCCAAGGTATACAAAAGGATCATATAGGTAAGTTTATTTTTAATCTCAAAAGAACGTTTCTTTCTGAAACATGATTAATATCGTATTTATATACAACATAGCAGGATTACATACTCTGTAGTGATTGTCTAAGCTTTTCAAAAATGAATTCGGATTCATACAAAGAGAATGCTTCACTTAGCACTGATTCATTCCTTAAAATTTTAAATCTTGTTATGCTGTATCAAGTGAGGCCTTCTATGTTCCTCTTAGCCAATAAATTCATTGCAATAGGTTAAATCTAGCAACCACTAAAATTTGGTATTACGGCCGTACATGTAGTAGCCTTCAAAATACTAAGACTACTTGGTCGGATCTTTTTTATTGGCATTTCAAAATTGATAATAAAATAAATCATACAAATTTTTTCCCATAATGATTGATACGCTTTGAGTGATTAAGCTCGCCTCGATAAGAAATTTTTATTTTTACCGGAAAGCAAATTATCTTAGTTTACCACTCATTAAAATATTTTGAAATACAAGTATTAACAGCAGTGAAGGAAAAGATTCAGGAGTACTGTACAAATACATATAATATGCTCGAGATACTTGATACTTAAAATTTCCAAAAAAAAAAGCTTTTAGAAAATTTGGAATCGCGATATTTTACCAAAATTAACAGCATCAAAACGTCCAACTTTTCAACACTTTATACAATCATTTTTCCTTGATTAACTAATAAACTAAAGACAAGGCATTTTGACTTCATAGACAACTGCTTCTTAAATAAAGATGGAACGTGTAAATGCATACCTTGTCATTGGTCATCTGCAAACTTATATTCTTAAAAATATTTTAATTCGTCACACAAGTACTCCGAGCTTGATATCAAAAAGATACCTTATTTTCTCATATACAATATTTATGTACTTTTTTCCTAAAATCTGTTTGAATTCTTATGGGTACTAATTGTGTCCCTTTATAAGTACTCCTGTTTTTGTATTCTTATCAAGCAGAATGTATTTAAAAACTTCTACATGATATGTATGGAGATGACGAACAGTATTCAAGCTTAAAAGTCCATTAAACAATACATATTTAGGAGCAGAGCAAACACGGATCTCTAAAACATCATAGGTTGGATCAGGTGCCATGGAGGAGGGAGCATCCCCTGCCGACCGCTCACACCCGCTGTTTGCTCCTTTTCATGATCGAGAAATAATGGAAGAAAAATCGACAATTCAGTGTGTAAATAATGGTCTAACAATAAGTATGAAATACGTCAGTCAGCATTTGACTTAATGATAAAGTGCATTTGCTGACAAGGACATTCTATCGACCATAGAACTTGCGACATGACGTCTTTAAACGAGACTGTTGATATTCTTTTTTCATCAACTTGTTTGTCAATAACTTACCTCGTTTTAGAAATTGTTCACACTTAGAGCATACTCTTGTGTATAGAATCAACTGAGATATATAAACCCCATATGCAGGTGATGGAAGTATATTGCCGCATAAGTAAGGGAAGTTGATGATTGTATATTTCATTGTAAAGTTAAAGTCATCACGTTTATCATAAAGCTTGGTTGTTAGATTACCATTAATTTCTTTTTTCTAGTAAAATATCCAAACACGAAACAGATGTGTCAGACTCTTTGGTATCTTTTATTTCAAGCTAACTGGGATATATCGTATCGAAATAAGAATGGAAGTAACCATTGTTAATTGACAATACGTCGTCGATATATCTAAATGTTGATATGAAGGCCACAACAAGTGTTTTCCTCTTTTCAAGTATAAAATTTAGAAGAAATTCTGCTTCATATGAATACAAAAATAGGTCTGCTAATAACGGGGCGCTATTGGTACCCATGGGAATTCCAGTAGATTGTTGGAAAACTTGATCTCCAAAAAACCACACAGATCTTATCAGAAACTTGAGATCTTTTTAATATCAACTTCAGAGTACGTGTGTGTACAAGCAGAATGTTTTTGACAAAATAATTTTGGAAATGACCAATGGCAAAGGTAAGTTAATTTCCGAGTTCTATTTTTATTGTAAAAGCAGCTGTCAATGATATCAAAAACTCTGGACTTTACTTTTATTTATCCTGGGGAATGGTAGTATATAAAGTTCAAAAGTTGTAAGTTTTTATGTTTTTATGTTACATGAAAAGAATTCTCTTGCTGCTGCCTTTTTTTCGACATTTAAATAAAGCGACGAATTTTTATTAATTAACAATTTAATTTTCAATCCTACATTGATTCGATATATCCTTCTGGACTCATAATGAAAGATACCACAGAGAATGACACATCTGTTTTATATTTGAACATTTTACAAGAGGAAGACATGGATGGCAAACTAATAACTTAACTTAATGAAAAACGTGATATCATAAACTTTTATATCTTCAACTTCCCGTATTTATGTGGCAATATACCGTTATCACCTGCACATAGAGATTTATCTCCCAGTAGATTCGATACACAGCAGTACGTTTTATACACGAACAATTTCTTAGACGAAACAGGCTATTGACAAATAAGTTGAAAATACAATGAGCCTGTTTGCAAATACAATCTATCGCAAGGTCGAAAATTTAAATTGACGTCTTTCATACAAATTGTGTACATGAAATATATGGAGATAACGAACAGTATTCAAGCTCAAAAGTCCATTAAACAATACAAAATAGGAGCACAGCAAATACGGACCTCCAAACATCAGAGGTGGGATCAGGTGCCGTGGAGGAATGAGCATCCTCTGCCGACCGGTCACCCCCGCCATGTGCTCCTTGTCATGATCGAGTAATAAAGGAAAAATCCTTCAACAATTCAGTGTGTAAATAATGGCCTAATTATTAGTATGAAAAACGTCAGTCAGCATTTGAATCAATGATATTTTGTATTTGCTGACAAGGTCATTTTTTTCCGTTTACCCGATCATGACAAGGAGCACACGGTGGAAGTAACCGGTCTACAAGGAATGCTCCTCCAATTCATCTGATTCGAACTCTGTTTTCAGAGGTCCAGGTTTGCTCTGCTCACAATTTGTATGTTTAAATGGATTTTTGAGCCTGACCAATGTTTGTAATCTTCACGATAATATCGATGACGTATTATCAAGTGAAGATATTCATTTCACTCCTAATTTGATTTGATATTTTCAATAGAACTTGTGATTAAAGACACCACGAGTCTGACACATCTGTTTCATATTTAGAGTATTTACTAGAGACAAACTTTAATGGCAAACTAACAACTACATTTTATGATAAACGTGATAACTTAAACTTTTCTTATCGTCAACTTCCCTTATTTTTGTAGCAATAATTTTTTTTTCTCCTGCATATGGAGTTAACGTTTTGCAGTTGCTTCTTTACACAAGAGTATGTTCTACCTTCGACCAATTTCTAAACAGACACATACAATTGGAAAATAGTTTGATGATACATGGATGTTGCAGTCACTATTGAAATAACGACCACTATTGAAATAATTATTTCAATAGTGGTTATGAACAATTTATCCGTATTTATTTTTCAATAGTTGGGTTATTTCAATAAGGCGTGCAATGGGATTTTGGTATTTAAATCATTGTCAACAACTATTGAAATCATTTCAATCACTTTTGAAATCTTTATTTGAACCACTATCTATTTGAAATAATTATTCTCGTTTAAAGTCAACATTTAGCAAATTCTATGGTCGATATTTACACTGAATTGTATACGAGTTTTTTCAAGTCACAACAAGGAACACTCGGCGGAGATAACAGGTCGAAATGGGATGCTTATTCTTCCCTGGCTTCTGATTCCACCTTTTTTTTTTCCAGATATCCCTGTATTGTTTAATTGAACTTTTGAGCATGATCTCCGTATTTCTTTACTGTTGATTTCGTTTTGGTACCAAGTGAAATACTGTCTATGACAATCAAAACATATGAAGGAGTAAATGCTAGCCCACTCGGAATTCTATATAAGAATTTTACAAAAAGAAAAAAAATCAATGATTTTTTTTAATTATTACAAAAAATTGAAGGCTTATATACAATATAATACTATATGTAATAAAATATTAATCAGAAGAAAAAATATTGGCTTATTATGGCCAGATCGCTTACTCTTGCTTGTTTATTTTTTCCATGTTTAAATGTGAGACAGTACATCTGTCTCTTGACAAGGCAGGGTAAAAAGCCCATAGGACGATCATTTCTTGCTCACAGATTGCAAATGTGGAGGGTGATGTGACATCAGGCATTACCAAGGGTCGGATGGATCTTTAAAAAGCAGTTATTTATTGTCATCAATGGACAACAGAACAAACCAAGAGTAGGCGAACTTTGGAAGTATCCTGGTCATGACCAGTTATCTCATTCAAATTTTCAGATTGCACCTTAGGGATATTAAGAAGTGGTTCCTGGTAATTTGGGCATATTTCAAGCATTTATATATTCATTATCTTTTGCCACAAAAAACAGACACTGGGAAAGAATATTCGACCTTCAGAAATTTTCCTTTATAATATTGAGAGTGGTTCTTAGGATTTGACAGGGCTAATTTGCGCCCAAAACTTTGTATTTTTTACATTCCATGGTGAGATATGGGTAAAAGGTCTGCGGTTATCCCCTCTGTTTTTTTAAAATATAAAATTGCATTAAACAATTGCCAGGGAAGGAAAGGGCTCATCATTGAGTTTTCATTATCGGTCCTCAGATTGGGTTGTAGTGACCTCTAAGTGGTGTCCAGCAGTTTGGAATACTTCAAGCATAAATTTATCAATGTAAATCATATATGGTACGCAGTACAGTTAAGGTGCGCAATAGAAATATCGGCAATTTTTGTGATTAAAAATAAATTCTTAATCAGTATGGCGATTCTTTTCAGTACTTTATTCATATCCGACAAATGTAATGATGGTTAATAACTACATATTGAGGACGATAAGATTTTATATTTAGACTTACCACGTGATGCGGCAGTCACGTGATATAGCATATATACTTGCAGTATTGAGGTCACCTATAAATTTCACTAGTGC